CTTCCACATGGTGCGAGCAGCTCTGTGGAGTCACAACTCTGGCTCAGAGGGGTCTGGGACACAGCTCTGTGGCCTGGGCAGCTGCAGGGCCCAGGTGACAGAACCACGGTGCCTTGTGGGGCAGGGAGGCAGGCTGACCTCAGGATTGGGGGCTGCCATGCCAAAGCTGGCAAAGAGAGGAACTGGAGTGTCCTGGAAGGCTCCATCTCTCTGGCACACCATTTGGGACAGGTTGTCCAGCGGGATGGGGTCTAAAGGCAGGTGAACCCTCAAGGCAGGTGGGTCCCATACCTGTCACAGGCTGGGGTAGAGCGCAGCAGGGTCACTGCAACATCCGTGGGGTGTGCCTCGGTCAGCAGGACAAGAGTCTTGTCCAACCTGTGCTCAGCAGACACATTGGATGTGAGCCACTGGTGGATGCACCTGACTATGGCTGGCACCTGGAGGGGACACGAGGGACAGTTGGAGAGCTGCCAGAGCCAGCAACTTGCCCAGTTTCCCCCAAGAAGTGCTCCCCTTGCCACCACACTCTGCTGGTCTCAAAGGCTGAGGGGGCCCAGTGCAGCCAACGTGAGGGGCCACAGCATCCCTGGGGGACTGGAGCCCTGGTCACAGGCTGCTTACTTGCTTGGCTTTGTAGACACCGTTCTGCACAAGCAAATCCAGCAGGGCAGCGCTGGTCTGGGCATTGAAGAGGTCCGAGTTTGCCATGTCCCCAGTGGTCATGAAAGTGACCTCTTCATGTCAAATGCACCTGATGAATCTGCAAACCAGCTACAGGAGAAAGGCAAGGAAGAGAGGGATGTCCCCTGGAGGGCTGCGACAGCGGTGCTGGGTTGAGCAGTGAGAGCAGGCCCAGCCCAGGTGGGGATGGTTGCAGGTACCTGTGCTGCCCTGCGGAAGCGGCCACGGGCACGGAGCTGCTCTTCTGTCCGCTCCTGGTCTGCATCTGGCAAAGAGCGAGCGTGCTCAGAGCTGAGGGTGTGCGGGAAAGGCCGGAAAACACAGCCCAGGCCTGGGCTCCAGGAACAGGCAGGGCCAGCCCCGGGATGCCCAGTGGATGGAGCACAGCTACCAGGAGATCAGCCCCGGCCCCTCTGCCCCCCTCCCTTTCCCTGGGCATGTCCAGAGGGGATGGGACAGGATGAGGCCAAGCGGGCTGCAGCCACCAGCCCTGTGGCCCAGCTCCAGCACTCACCCTCCTGTGGGGACTGCACCTGCTGCACCTCTTCAGGTTTCTGTGCTGGAGCAGCCCCAGGGCTTTCCTCCTTCTCCTCCTCCTTCACCCAGGCCAGCTTGGGCACCGTGGGGGGTCTCTGCTGCAAGTCTCTGTCTGGTGTTATGGCTACCTGCAGCAGAGATGCCATGGAAAAACTTTGACTCCCCAAGTCCTGCAGTCGTGCCTTGAAGGCAGCTGCAAGTGAGAAGCCTGGGAAATGCTCCGCCTCATCCAGTCCCACTGTCTGGCCTCAAAGGCACCTGCCCCAGGGACTGGAGATGCCTTGAGTAGCCCCAGGTCCCCAAGTGCCACAGTCCGGCCTGGAGGATGCACAGGGGAGATGTAGAGAACTGCCAGAGTGAGCAACTTGCCCAGTTTCCCCCGAGAAATGCTTCCATTCCCAGTACACTGTGCCAGCCTCAAAGGCTGAGGGGGCCCAGTGCACCCAGCTTGGGGGGCCACAGGCTGCTTACTTGAGCAGAGACAACTCTCTCCTCAAGAAAGTCCAGACTGGGGGTATCGGCCAGGTGCTGAACAGGCGCGGCGTCAGTGCTCGCCACGCCCTCCATCGTTGTGTCGTCGGCCTCCTCCATGAACTCAGGCAGCTCAGAGTCACAGTGTGACACGGCATCGCTCGATGTGGTGTCCCAGTGGGTTGTGTGATCACTGGTTGCGGTGTCACACTTTGCTGGGACAGCAGTCGACGCGGTGCTGACATCAGGCTTTGGGTTCAGCTGGGTCGGGATGGTGTCAGGTTGGGTCTGGACATCAACTGGTGTGATGCTGGACTGTCTACGCCGACTGCCCACAAATTTCATAAATGTCTGCAGGAGAAAGAAGGGCAGGGAAGAGAGGGATGTCCCCTGGAGGACTGGGACAGCGGTGCTGGGTTGAGCAGTGAGAGTAGGCCCAGCCCAGGTGGGGATGGCTGCAGGTACCTGTGCTGCCCTGTGGAAGCGGCCACGGGCACGGAGCTGCTCTTCTGTCCGCTCCTGGTCTGCATCTGGCAAAGAACGAGCGCGCTCAGAGTTGAGGGTGTGTGGAAGAGGCCGGAGAACACAACCCAGGCCTGGGTTCCAGGAGCAGGCAGGGCCAGCCCCAGGATGCCCAGTGGATGGAGCACGGCTGCCAGGAGTTCAGCCCCTCTGCCCCTTTCCCTTTCCCTGGGCATGTCCAGAGGGGATGGGACAGGATGAGACCAAGCGGGCTGCAGCCACCAGCCCTGTGGCCCAGCTCCAGCACTCACCCTCCTGCGGGGGCTGCACCTGCTGCACCTCTTCAGGTTGCTGTGTTGGAGCAGCCCCAGGGCTTTCCTCCTCCTTCTTCCTCCAGAACAACCTGAGCAGGCTGAAGTGTCTCCCTGCCATGCCACAGTCTGGTGTCGAGGGTACCTGCAAAGAGAGACGCCTCGGAGAAACTCCGGGTCACTAAGTCCTGCAGAATGGCCTTGAGGCCACCTGCCACAGGGATTGGAGACACCTCGGAGAAGCTCCGGGTCTCCAAGTCCTGCAAAAGGGTCTCGAGATCACCTGTCACGGGAATTAGAGACACCTCGGAGAAACTCCGGGTCTCCGAGTCCTGCAGAAAGGCCTCGAGGTCACCTGAAAGCGAGAAAATCCTCCAAAACCCTCCGGGTCAGCAAGGCACGAGTTGGCTGCGCGGGGGCTCCGCACAGCACCGCTCTGTCCTGTCCTGTCCCGTCGCCTGCTCCGAGGAGCACTGTTGACACTGTGGTCGTGTCACCAGTAGCACCTCTGTCACCACGGGTCATAAAGGGCCCTTGCACACCCTGCCCCCTTCCATCCCACCGGCCATGTCCAGCGTGTCACAAAGGGCCCTGGGACACAGTGCCACGTGGCCTGGGGCCTCCCCCAGCCCCGCCAACCTGCCCCACCTTGAAAGGAATCCACTCTCTAAAGTATCTAATCTGGATGGACCTGAACTGTAGGAACAGCTGAAAAAATGAGCAAACACTCCCCTCCTGTGCCTGCTCACGGCAGCACAAGGAGCCCCCTCGGCTGTCGACGCAGCCGCAGCGGGAAGGGTACGGGACCTTCCACACAAGCTGGCATGGCCTCCTTGGGAGAAGTGCTGGCTGGTGACCATCCTAAACACGGGGGTGTGACACCGAGAAGGAAGGTGTGGGCAAGGGCACCAATGCTGCTGGGAGCCCTTTGGCCAGGGCTGCACCCAAATCAGCAGCTCTGGCAAGTCCTGGCCCAAGGAGACCTGCCACCATCCCGAGTCCTGGCAAGGCTGCTGCCCGTCTCCTGCCCCAAAGAGCTGTGCCCCCGTGTATTAGTTGGTTTGAATACATGCCTGGAATAAAGACAAGGACAACAGACAGTCAAAGCCTACAAAAAATCTTTTATTCAAGTGAGAACAGAAAAAAAACTGGCAAAGAGAATCAAAAGCTAAAAAAGAATACAAAAAAGCTGCTTTATCAGTTGGCATTCATAGAATACTACAAACAGCTTTTATTATAGTATTAACTTGAAAAAAGGGGATTAAAGGAATACCAAAAAAGGATATAAAACATTGGCTTTCTCGGTTGCTTCCTATCAATAAACTGTGCTTACCCACACAGACAGGTCAGGGTTGCCAGGATCTGCAGCAGTTGGTCGGTGCCCGTGCTTAGCGGGCATCCCCATGGAGCAACACAGTCTCCATGGCAGTATGAGGATCACTCACCCCAGCAGTCCTGACACCCCATTTCATCAGCTCTACATTACACCACGGAGGACCAGTACGCACGTGGTGGTTTCACTCTGGACCTTCCTGGAGACCAACTTGTAACCAGGAAGGAACTAGAAAAGTGAT